ATGTCTCTCAGTACAAAGAAACAAAACTCCTATTTAAAATACACACCCTCCACCACCACCACCAGGGCACAATCTAAGCACTATCAAAATTACAAATGAAAACTTCCAACAGTTAAAATTACTGTTTTACTGCCATAAAAGCCATGAAATCCATAACAGCCACAATCTATTTACAGCCAGAGTAAATAAAAATAACCCACGAATGATACTATCCTAATCCACTAAACCCCATAATAATTTCCATAGCAGTGGCCCTGTATTGGCATGAAAATGACACAAAGAAATGGGTGCATTGCAATCGAAGGCGGGATGAAATTGATTGCAGACCCTGAAAACCCCTGAGCTCGTACCTCCCATTCAACAGGTCTTTTCCTCTCTTGCAATCATGTTTACAAACCCAAGTAACCTTACTTGAACTGAGTTTGGCTGGGCAAAGCAAACTAGGCTTGTTTAGAGCTGCTATGGGTTGGCAAAGGCTGGGTGTCAAATCCTTCAACTTTGCAGACCTAATTTTCCAAGACAAACTCGCTGCCCAGCTGCCTCTAAAATTCACTTTTGGCTTCCCCATAGCTCCACCCACATTTCCTCCTTTGCTCCCCCCCCACAAAAAGGGGAGGGGCCTTTCCATTGCTAGCCAATCTCATCTCCCCATGGAGTCTCACAGACCCTTTTCAAAGGCCCTGCTCCCCAGAAGCAGGGAGATGCTACAACGCAGGAACAACCCTAGAGGGAGTCAACAAAGGCCTAAAGTAGTGGTTCTCAACCTTTTTAATGCCGCGATCCCCAACCGGTCGTAAGTCGAGAACTAAACCGGTTGTAAGTCGAGGACTACCCAACTGGTCGTAAGTCGAGGACTTTCCCTGCCCGGGAGCACCGCGCATGCGTGGTTCTGCCCCCTGCGCCAGCCGAGGCGTAGCTGGCAAGCGGCAGAGACAGAGCAGGCCGATCACCAGCTGGCCCAGCTCAAGGGAGGTAAGGCACCCGCCGGAAAAGGGGAAAAAAATGGCGGACAGCCTTGCTTGGCGACCCCCATGAAATGGTCAATCGACCCCCAAATGGGGTCGCGACCCATAGGTTGAGAACTGCTGGCCTAAAGGATGGAAGTCCCACCCCTTATTTTCATATGGGTAGAAGGCGGGTCTGGCATCTTGACTTTTCTTGACCTGGCTTGGGACAGCCACCCTTGCTGTAATCCCCATCCCTTTGAGAGTCTGCTAGATCAGTGGCTCTCAGTTTGGCATCTGTGGACATTAAATAAATAAGCATTTTTTACATTTCTTGTTTTCAATTTATATAGACATTAAAAATGTCTTAAGACAGATTTTCACACTTACGACCATTGCAGCACCCCCTTGATTACTTGATCAAAATTCCGTCGCTTGGCAATCGGTTCACATTTATGATAGCTACAGTGTCCCGGGGTCATGTAATCATCTTTTGTGACCTTCTGACAAGCAAAGTCAATGGGGAAGCCGGATTCACTTAACAACTGTGTGACTAACTTAACAACTGCTATAATAATAATAATAATAATAATAATAATAATAATAATAATAATAATAATAATAATAATAATAATAATAATAATAATAAAAAAAAGTTGGAAGGGACCTTGGAGGTCATCTAGTCCAACCCCCTGCTCAGGCAGGAAACCCTATACCATTTCAGACAAATGGCTATCCAGTCTCTTCTTAAAAACTACCAGTGTTGGAGCATTCACCACTTCTGGAGGCAGGTTGTTCCACTGGTTAATTGTTCTAACTGTCAGGAGGTTTCTCCTTAGTTCTAGGTTGCTTCTCTCCTTGATTAGTTTCCATCCGTTGCTTCTTGTCCTGCCTTCAGGCCCCTTGGAAAATAGCTTGACTCCCTCTTCTTTGTGGCAGCCCCTGAGATATTGGAACACTGCTATCATGTCCCCCCTCGTCCTTCTCTTCATTAAACTAGACATACCCAATTCCAGCAGCCTTTCCTTATATGCTTTAGCTTCCAGTCCCCTAATCATCTTTGTTGCTCTTCTCTATACGATTTCTAAAGTCTCAACATCGTTTTTACATCGTGGTGACCAAAACTGGATGCAGTATTCCAAGTGTGGCCTTACCAAGGCATTGTAAAGTAGTATTAATACTTCACGTGATCTTGATTCTATCCCTCTGTTAATGCAGCCCAGTACTGTGTTGGCCTTTTTGGCAGCTGCAGCACACTGCTGGCTCATATTTAAGTGATTGTCCACTAGGACTCTGAGATCCCTCTCACAGTTACTACTATTGAGCAAGGTAACCCCTATACTATACCTGTACATTTGGTTTTTCTTGCCTAAATGTAGAACCTGACTTTTTTCACCATTGAATTTCATTTTGTTAGATAGTGCCCAGTGTTCAAGTCTGTCTGGATCCTCCTGTATCCTAAGCCTGTCTTCTGGAGTGTTGGTTAGTGCCATCTGCAAATTTGATGATATCCCCATCTATCCCCTCGTCCAAATCGTTGATGAAGATGTTGAAGAGCACTGGGGCCAGAACAGAGCCCTGGGGCACCCCACTACACACTTCCCTCCATGTAGATGCGGTTCCATTGAGGACCACACGCTGAGTACGGCCGGTCAGCCAGCTACAGATCCATCCGGTGGTGATGCTATCTAACCCACATTTTTCTATCTTATCAAGTAGTAGGTTGTGATGTACTTTATCAAATGCCTTACTGAAGTCCAAGTAAATTATATCCACAGCATTCCTCTGATCCACTAATTTTGTCACTTGGTCAAAGAATGCAATAAGGTTTGTCTGGCATGATCTGTTTTTGACAAACCCATGTTGGCTTTTAGTAATGACTTTGTTTGCCTCTAGGTGTTCGCTGATTCGTTGTTTGATTATCTTTTCCNATGTCTCTCAGTACAAAGAAACAAAACTCCTATTTAAAATACACACCCTCCACCACCACCACCAGGGCACAATCTAAGCACTATCAAAATTACAAATGAAAACTTCCAACAGTTAAAATTACTGTTTTACTGCCATAAAAGCCATGAAATCCATAACAGCCACAATCTATTTACAGCCAGAGTAAATAAAAATAACCCATGAATGATACTATCCTAATCCACTAAACCCCATAATAATTTCCATAGCAGTGGCCCTGTATTGGCATGAAAATGCCACAAAGAAATGGGTGCATTGCAATCGAAGGCGGGATGAAATTGATTGCAGACCCTGAAAACCCCTGAGCTCGTACCTCCCGTTCAACAGGTCTTTTCCTCTCTTGCAATCATGTTTACAAACCCAGGTAACCTTACTTGAACTGAGTTTGGCTGGGCAAAGCAAACTAGGCTTGTTTAGAGCTGCTATGGGTTGGCAAAGGCTGGGTGTCAAATCCTTCAACTTTGCAGACCTAATTTTCCAAGACAAACTTGCTGTCCAGCTGCCTCTAAAATTCACTTTTGGCTTCCCCATAGCTCCACCCACATTTCCTCCTTTGCTCCCCCCCACAAAAAGGGGAGGGGCCTTTCCATTGCTAGCCAATCTCATCTCCCCATGGATTCTCACAGACCCTTTTCAAAGGCCCTGCTCCCCAGAAGCAGGGAGATGCTACAACGCAGGAACAACCCTAGAGGGAGTCAACAAAGGCCTAAAGGATGGAAGCCCCACCCCTTATTTTCATATGGGTAGAAGGCGGGTCTGGCTGCCATCTTGACTT